CATGCGGTTAGTTATTCATACAGCCATGGGTAGCATAGCTTTTTTCCCCCATCTATACACTTTACATGCTTCTGGCCCAATCATAGTCACATAGGTGTTTGCAACCTTACCCACATGAGCAGAACCCATTGATGGAATTATTTAACTGAGTAAAAACATCGAGGAGTCTTTTGGTATGTTGTTAGTCTTTAAGGTGCTACAGGACTCCTAGTTGTTTTTGCTGAAACAGACTAATAAGCTCAGCCTTTGAAACATATCAACTGAGCAAATTTATGTATATGTTAGCAAGACTTGGCCCTTTGCAAGATAATTCTGTGAAATATATACTGCGCATGCATGGACAGGTATTTTCAATGAAGTCAAATCTCATTCATATCCAGAAGAATTTTTTTTAAACCATGAGTGGGTATGTCTACATTCTATGGAGGCTGCAGTCTTGCCTAATTTAAAAATCTTCCCATTCCATTCACATTTTTTCTACAAGGATTTTAACTCCTCTGGGAAGTATGGCTGATCATGACTTTGGAATTACTTTGTTTTATGATAAAGAATAAAAACTTTGCAGTGGCAATGTTTCATTGAAAAAGATCCTTGTAGTGTTAAAAAAAAATAAATCAACCTTTCAATATATTTTTTTAAACAAAAGCTAACAATGTGCTCACTTCCCCAATCAGTCCAAAGCAGAAATCTAACTTATTTTGCTGACAGCAATAAACATGGTCAGAGTCTCTACCTTTTTTGATAACTTGTATTTAGTGATGTAGGTCCTTCGTTCAAGCTGTTTTTCTTGACATCTTCCTCCCATTTTCGTCTTGTGTAAGAACCACTACTACGTATTGAACTGGCAGATGAGTCCCTGTAAAAAGATTGTATTATGTATGTATTACATAAGGCATATATTAGAGATAGTTTTGTTTGTTTCTTTAAAGGGGGCTGCAGAAAATAAAAAGTTAAAGGCCTGGGACCTGTGCAGACCGCAATAAAATTACCATTTAGTTAGCAAATTCCTAAGCTCATGTTAATACTGAAAGATAATTTAATAGCCATCTTTTACTGGCTTTGTTTTTCCTCAAGACAAGGGCAAGAGTTACTCACAATGCTACAGGGACACCGTAATGCAGTCAAGGGAAAACTACTTACCTATAATTTTGCTTCTTCAAAGCCAGTTTAATAGAATCTCTCATTTTGGGAGCATCTCCACTAATTCAAAAGCACTTTTACTCTTTAAGCCACTGATAATGCGGGGTAGCAGGCAATAAATAGTAGCACACATAATCTTGAAAAACTACAGTTGTATGTGTAATAATCGCAGGGATAAAAATGAAGTATATTTTATAGAGACAGAATAAACAACATGGCAATAAAATTTAGAGGTTCATACTGAAGAGTTCAGTACTACTGAGCCATGAAATAAATGATAACTTTAAAACACAAGTATGTATTTTATTTTATTTTTAAAAAGACATCAGTGCAAGAGGTTCCCGCGGAGAACAAGGAGCTAAAGTGATGTCTTGAAAGAATGAAAATGAAATCAATTAACAGCATTAAACCAATACTCAAGTAAGTAATCTAATATATAAAGGAGAATGTTTGTATGTTTGTGCTCTAATAACTTGGACACGATAAGCCCTACCACAACCAAATTTTCCATGGGATAACCTTTCCTCCAGGAGAAGGTTTTAAGATACTGTGGGAAGAGATGAGAAAGCTTGGCTGTGCGGGGAGAAGCGGCTTCCCCACCATTGCTGGAAGCATCTGGAGGCCCCTATTCAATACTGCAATTGGCCGGGGGCCCGGCGGCCAACCAATGGGCGGGTGGGTTGCTGCCAGGGCTCACTCTAGGCAGAGGGGGCAGAGCTGCTGTTACCGATCAGCTGTCACTTTGAAAAAGTGTCCGGAAGGAGGCACAACGGGGACCTGGAGGTGAG